TACTGCTGCATATAATCCCGAAATGAACGGAGTAGCTGAAAGAATGAATCGTACTCTGACTGAAAAGGAGCGTGCATTATTGTTAGATTCACAGCTTCCTAAAGAGCTTTGGGGCGAGGCCCTGCGATATGCGGTATATATCACTAATCGTAGTCCCACTGCTTCCCTTAATGTTACACCATTTGAAATGTGGGAGGGAAGACGTCCTAATGTGTTTAATTTTAGAATATTTGGGTCATCTGCATATGCCCATATTCCCCAAAAACTCCGAATGAAGTTGGACCCTCGTGGTGCGAAATTGAAAATAGTTGGGTATGCTCCGGGGGGATACAGATTATGGGATGCTAATGAAAGGAGGATACGCATAGAACGAAACGTATTGTTTAGGGAAGAAACATGTTCAGTCCCCTGAAACGATTAGTATTGACGTGGAGTCTATCTCGGATGGGAAGGAGAAGGATGGTGGTAGTATTCCTGAGAAAACCAAAACCCCTTTAATTTCAGATAAAACCCAAACTCATGGTACTGTGAAAATTTTAACTTCTGATAATAATTTAGAGTCATTACAACCTGAGGGAAGGGATACAGATAATGTTAATTCTAGGGAGAAAAGAAAGAAAACTAAACCAAAATATTTACAAGATTTTGTCACTGATGATTCTAATTTAGGTGATATATTAATGGCATCATTTTTATCTTGTTCTAATGGTAATGTCCCAGAAAAATATAATGATATAGATTCTTATGACGATATAGATAGGTGGTAAGAAGCGGTAAATGAAGAAATTAAATCTTTAGAGGATAATGACTTAGGAAGTTGTAGAAAGACCAAACGATGCTAAGTTAATTGATTGTAGATGGATTTTTACAAAAAAGGCGGGTAATGTATATAAAGCTAGATTAGTTGCAAGGGGGTTTCAACAGGAAGGTAGTTTTACCGAAATTTATTCTCCCGTTTTGAAATTACAAACTCTCCGAGTTCTTTTATCATTAGCTGTTCAAAGGAACTATTTAATTCATCAAATGGATGTTAAAGGTGCTTTCCTTCATGGTGAAATTGATGATGTTGTATACTTAAAGCCCCCACCTGGTGTAAATATAAATACAAATTATGTCTTGAAATTGAAAAAATCACTTTACGGTCTTAAAAAATTTTCCAAAATTGGTACAATACATTTTATGATTTTATGAAAGGTAAAGGATTTCAAAGAGCAGAAAGTGATTATTGTTTATATTTTAAGGATGGTATTTACATTTTGTTGTATGTGGATGATTTATTAATTTTAGGTGAGGACAATTCAAGGATAAATAATGTTAAAGAAATTTTAAGCACAGAATTTAAAATGAAAGATCTAGGATCTAAAAAATTTAAAATATCTGGGTATTAATATTATTCAAGATAGTGACTGTTTGTATATTAACCAGAAAGAGTATTTAAAATCTATATTGACAAAGTTTGGTATGTCTGAAGCAAATGCTACTGAATCACCCATGGAAGTTAATGTTAATCTTGATGATTGTACGGTTGATTACTCTTTAGAGCATAAATGCAGTGGGTTCAAGACCTGATTTGTGTACTGCTGTTTCATATTTAGCAAGATATCAATTTAGACCATCAGAAAGGTTATGGCAATGCTTGAAAAGGATTTTAAGATACATTAAGGGTACCATTAATTATAATTTAAAATATAATAAGAATTGTAATTCCGAACCACTAGTTGGATATGCTGATGCTAGTTTTGCTGTAGATAAAGATAGGAAATCTATAACTGGTTATGTATTTAAAGTATTTGATAACAGTGTTATTTGGCGTTGCAAAAAGCAGAGCACTGTAGGTTTAAGCACTACTGAGGCAGAGTTATACTCCCTCAATGAAGCCGCTCTGGAGGCTTGTTAATGTTAATTAGGAAATTATTAAATGAGTTAGACGTTAGTTGTAATACCACTACCATATATGAAGACAATAAAAGTACAATATTTTCTGTATGTAATCCTGATCGAAAAAGAATAAAACATGTGGACATAAAATACAACTTTATTAAACATAAAATAGAATGTAAGGAAATTTGTGTTATGTATATACCTATAAGGAACAAATAGCTGATATTTTTACGAAACCATTAAATAAAACCTCTCATAATTATTTTGTACATAAATTAGGATTGGAATAGAGTTTAGTTCGCATTGTGTGTTTTTAGTTTGTTAGTTTTGTTAATACAAATCATTGTATTGTTATTTCTTACTTATTCATGGTAATGTTTGAAATTATTGTAATGTTATTCTGTTAATATAAATCATTGGGGGGAGGTGTTAATTAACAATGATTTATATAATATTGTATTTTAAAACTGTGTCTGTGGTTATGAAGGAAGATTCAATATGATGTTATAGGCTCTCCATGTGTTGTTTTGAGGTTAATAAAAAGCACGTTTTATGTTCAAAGTATTATATCTTTAATTATCCCCATAATCCTGTTAATAATTTCCATACTTTAATTTTTTAATGTAAATTTTAAAACATTACAAAAAACGTCACTTGTGTAGTTTCTTTCGCCATCTCTTACGTAAAGGCCAAACAAAAAGATCAATACGTAAACCACGTAAAAGAACATGAAAGTTTACGTGAAACTCCACAACCCGTGAAGTCTGCAGCCTATAATCACATTTAGGACGGTTCTTGCAATGGGATTTACGTGATAGAACCATTCTGCAGGTATATTAGTTGTAGTTGTAGCACGAATCGGTCGGCTCGACCGGGGAGGGATCACTCTCTCACAGAATACCAGCGTAAAATAGCAGTTCAACGCTGCTGTGTTTCGTATGGTGAGTGTAGAGAACTGGAGACCAATTTTACTGGAAACGAGGCACTCCATCTTAGTCCTCACGGGTGACAACGCATCTGCATTTTGATTCGTAAGAGGTTCCGTATTTTGATCGAGGATAAATGTAGATGTCAATGGGCCACACCACCCACCACTTACTATCTGGTAGGCTGGGTGCTCGTTGGTCACTTTTATCCTATAAAAAAGGGATAGCACATAGGTAAATAGAGCATCGACGACTTTTTCTGCCAGGCCGGCGCCACTCTAAATGAGGTGTAATATTTGACAAATTTCATAGCGGGGAAGTTAGGCGCCGTTCATTAATCACGTGAGGCTCGAAAGGGGAGGGAGTGGAGGGAGTGGGAGGGAGGGCTTAACAAAAATCACGAAATATCACATTGGGAGGGGGGGTGTAGTCAGATTATCACGTGTATTTGTTTTTTTGTCAAACGTGCGATTTCTAAACCGAAAGCGGCGTGTAATGTGACCTTGACTCGCCTGTACATGTGAATTCATGTCACAAGCATGAACCTAATTCGAGCAATAATAGTCTAGAGATAGAGATGCACAGTGTTCGTCCTTCACGTATCCTCATGCGACGATCGATCTATTATACTTTATAGATACTAAAAAAATACACGTGATCTTACGTGGGGGGGGGGGGGGGGTTAGTCTTAAACCTAACCACGTATAACCAAGAGAGAGGGGGGTGTTAGAAAATGTTGAAAAAACATCACGTGATTAATGGACGGCCCCTTACTTTGTACAAAAATGTAAAGGTTAATATTTATCTTTCTGTGCTATGAGTTATATTTTATATTATTATTAGAAATAAATACTTATAAAAGTAGATTTAAAAATAGGGACACTGAGACATTGTTTTAAACGACCCAGAAAAATCTAACAATATCAATGTGAAAATTTGTGGTAATTCAATTTTCTTCTGTTTTAAAACACAAAAAAATTTCGGATAAAATAAGTACCCGATAAACTTCATTGAAAATAAATTTCGATCTCGACTTACCGATGACCATCTCGTAGTTTAATGGCAATAGTTTGCGCCAATTTAATTTCAGAAAAAATGAAAATTTTCACCTTGATATTGGGTACCTACTTTATTATTTTTAATTAGATGTATCCTTAAAACATATTCTTATTTCTTATTTGTTAATTGACATTTAAAAACTCGGTTTTCAGTCATTTTCTAGCAAAGGTAACGCGACCAATTTAAGTATTTTTTTAAACGGACCCCCGCAACAACTAATTGGTAATCCCTGCTCTAGAAACTGATAAACTTTTATTTAAAACTAAGTTCTTAATTAAATGAATTTCTGTAACAAAAAACTTCACCTCTGTATCAACTAGCGGCATTTGGTGAACGAAATATTATTATAGTTCATAAAAGATAGCTTGATCTCTGCGACAGCTGTCAGTAAAATCACGCCTATGAAGTCCTGAATTTCTTAGTTGTACAGACACACAGTACCTGTCAATGTCATACTTTAAGGGCATGCACCAATTAGGTCGGCATGCATGCATGCGATATGAACTATAGCCTTCATTATTGTAAAAGGAACGGAAAAAAACACAGGAAACGAAGTTCCTGCACCGTTCAACAACACCTTTAACTTTTATTGATCTCTTAATGGTCTAAGATTGATCTACAATCAAATAATTATATGTCATATTATTATATCATAAGAAAAATTTATATAAATTAATTTTTTTTAAGTGGTACAGTCATGATGCAATTATATTAGTAGTATGGTTGTAGCACGAATGGGTCGGCTCGACCGGGGAAGGACCACGCTCTCACAGAATACCAGCGTAAAATAGTAGCTTAATGCTGCTGTGTTTCGTATGGTGAGTGTAGAGAACCGGAGACCCTTTTTACTGCAAACGAGGCATTCCAGCATAGTCCTCACGGGTGACAACGCATCTGCATTTTGATTCGTAATTGATAACAGATGTAGTTGTCTATGGGCCACAGCAACCACTTATCTTCAGGTGGACTGTGTGCTCGTTCGTCACCCTTATCCTAAAAAAAAACAAAAAAAAAACAAGGAAGACTTTTATGAAAAGGTGTTTTATTTAAAAAGAATACATGTTTCAGATTATGTATAATCTTTAATTCATACAAATGATAAAATCTAATTTAACATAATGACGGATTAAAATATTAAAATCTGCTCCTGGATGCCTGCGAGTTGCCCTTGCTGCCAGGATCCTCGTGCGCCTGGAACATTACATTCAGTTTCATTCTCTACAAAGAACAGTGGGACCCGGGACTTGCCGTTTTTAAGGAGCTGGAGAGCCACTCTAATCCCGCACAGACTGACGTCCGGGATATCATCGGAGTAGTGTCGGTAAGACTTGCTCTTGGATCGTTACTCACACTTGCGTGTGGCTCCAACGATGATGTGTACAGCTGCCCATAGAACCTCTCAATGTCATTCAAAATCTCAGGTGTCCCGGAAACGATGCTGCTACACTCAGTCTCTCAGTCAGACAGTTGGCTCTTTCTGGCAGACAGATCTCTGGCAAAGACTTGGGAGACCTGGTTCCGCTCGATCGCTTCTTCAAAACGAGCAGTATTAAAGTTTCGGAAGTCTCGCTGCATGTATTTGGAGATCTGTCTGTTCAGTTGCCTATATGCTGTGGAATCTGCTGATGATTTCAGCCTCATCTCCCGTCTAACAGCCATGAGATTAAGAGTGTGATCGGAGAGTTTCTGTGTTCTTCTGCGGCGGGTCTTGCAGAACATAGCTCCGACCGCATGGACAGTTTCCACGAGCTTGTCATTCATATCGTCCACTGCATTGCAATTTTCTAGGCACTGAAAGCGGTTTTGTAACTCGAGCTGAAAGGTTTCGGGATTTTGGATTAGAGCACGAGGGGGACGGAGCGTCGACTTCATTAGTCGAGACCTCTCCAACTTAACGTTTAGGTTCAGTGTGCCTCTAACCATTCGGTGATCGCTGCCAGTTTTCACCCTTGCGATCACTGAGACATCACTGAACAGTTACCGTCTTGTCGTCATAATGAAGTCAATCTTATTTTTTGTCGAACCGTCGGCGCTCGATCAGGTCCACTTTCTGTGAGGCCGCTTCTGTAAGAGAGTTCATCATAATGAGTCCCTCTTTTTCCATGAAGTGCCGGTCCCTTGGGTTCCGTTGTCTCATCCCAAATTTCCCTACCTTCAGCTCACCTTTCTTTCTTGCGCCTAATTTTGCGAAGTCTCCCATTAACACCGTATAGTGAGTTTTGGAGGAATGCATAGCTCTAGAAATATCCTCATACATTAACTCCACCTCCTCATCGGGATGTTCCAATGTTAGTGCGTAAACCTGTATGACCTTCAGCGAATACTGTTTAGTGATTCTGAGTATAAGGTACGCAACGCACTCCCAATATTTACAAGGTTGTTAACGAGAGACTTGTGAACGATAAATCCAACATGGGACAGATGGTCGCCCTCCTGGTGATAGAACAAGTTCCCGGATTTGAGGATCACCGTGTCCTCCCCCTCTTCGGAACTCGGATAATCCTATAATATTCCAGCGAAACTTGTCTATCTCTTCTGATTTTTGTTTAAATTAAATTCTTTTGAAACTTTTTAAATTTTTTTTAAATTAAATTTACAGTTGCATGAACAAAATAGTAAGATTGTTCATTTTTATATTTAGTTAGGTTACAATTAGCCATGGAATAAATTATTCCATGGCTAATTGTTATCCGACGATTGAAAAATCGGCCCTTAACATTAAGTATAGTTATATTTATACATAAAGTTTATTATATATTAATTTCTAACTTAACATTCGCTATATAGTAGCGGCGTCAGGGAATCCACTACCACATATCCCGTGGGTGTCGTAAATGGCGACATTGGGGAACAGAAAAAGATGTGCGGCAGCATTTTCTTGATAACAACTCAAAGCAATAAAACCCGCGGTTATTAATCTACCTGCTAAGTGTGGCGACTAAGGCAACCATCTGCCTTATGAGGGAGGAGTCCAGCAGTGGACCTTGATCGGCTGTAAAGATGAAGAAGATGAAGGTTTATCTGTGCGTTTTACGCGCTGTCAAAGAAACAAAGAACGATGTGTATGTGTGTGTGGTCCATCTATTTTTGTTCGTTGATCTAGAACTAGGAGTGCGTGTTAAGAAGTTCAGGATTGCGGCTTTGTTCAATTCGGGCCACCGTCGTCAAGTCCCCACGCCCCCAGGCGTACCTTGATGACGATGGAGGTGCGCGGGCCGGTGTTCCAGAGTTGGCCGTGCTGGTCCACGAAGGCGGCGTCCACGGCCACGGTGTAGAGGCCGGGCGCGGCCACCGCCACCAGCTGCTGCGCCGAGAAGAAGTCGCGCAGCGGCGCCACCGTTTGCACCGCGCGCAGCACGGCCGGCACGTTCCCCAGCTCCACCGTCTGCTTGTACCATTGTATGGGCTCAACTTTATTTTGTTACGCGGAGGGATCACACTTGCTTGCATGTCACTTAAGTAAAACGTAGTTATATCGCCTCAATTCGTCCCTGGCTTAATATTCCAAATAAGCACATCAGCATTTTCGTAAGAAGTCAAAGTCAAATTAGATTTTTAACTAACATTAATTCAATTCTTACTGTAACTAAATATCTTCGAAAAAACATTAAATCATTTTATATTTTAAAATGTGTTTTTCAAAATACTGTCGAGTTAGGATGCAATTTAAGACATTTTCACTGTCTAATGGTTTTTTGCAGACTGTTTTACAAATATAAGGAGTGTAATTTGGCACTTTACGCGTATAACAATACAACAGAAGCGTTTTTCTTCAATTGCGCGTCAATAAGATTAGGGTATAATAATGGGTAGATAGAGTAGAGTAAACAAATATTTTTATTTAAATTCTTTATGACAATAGGTAGAAACGTTTCAAATAGATTAACTTTTTGTTCACCGAATGTCACCAGTTTACTTCGCTCTGGACAAATATGCAAGCAGCAAAGAAAAAAGAAAATCGTCACCTTAGTTAGCTGAATTTTCTCGTCATTCTTAGGAATTTTCTACAAATATGATTTTTATTTATATACTCTATGGTTCGTCCTCAAGCAGATAGAAAATAACATAAAGCATTTATCTATTTGTTTTTTTAAACCAATCACACAAAAATTATTAAAATGTTGCACAATAATAATTATCGGTACAAGTAAGTTTCGTTGGTAATGTGTAATTTTTGCGACACTAGTTCTAGTACAAATTATGTTTTTTGCCACTTCCTCTTGTTTCTAATAATACTTCGTGCTCGGAACACGTTGCAGCGCACACGCATTACTAACCAGTACACTCCAAACAAATTAGAAAAACACAGAATAAGTTTACTATTCCTTGGATTTAACATTAGACTGACGCTTACGCCGAAATTGATCAACTGGAGACCTTCTAGCGTATGTCACTCACATCTGGGCCCCCACTGTTTTCGAGGGCTTCGAAGCACTTGCTGTTTTCCTTGATGTCTTGAAGGCCTTTAACAGGGTTTGGTATGCAAGCCCTTTGGGCTAGCTTCCAGCGTACGGCTTATCCCCTGGCCTGATTGACTGAGTAAAGGACTTTCTGAGTGAACGATCCCTCCGAATTGTCGTCTTTGATAGATACTCGTCCAACCCTATCACCACAAACGTCGGAGTTTCTCAGGGATTCGTTCTCTCCGACTCTCTCTTCATGCTGAATATAATGAAATGACCTACTTATTCTCGGTATCAATGGGTAAGCAGACGACAGCACTGAATGCTTGGGCCAGTCGCGATCAAATCCAGTGCAAAATAGAAGCTATGGTTTAGCATGCGAATTAGACATGTGTCAATCATTCATTTCTAGTGACCGAATCACATTCAGATCGATCATTCAAATGGATCATTTCGGGCTCCAGAACTCTGTGAGTATGTGAGATCCATTGCGAACCGAAAATATTCTCTTTGGCTTTGTAATAGCGCCATCTACTACATGCTATAGGTAATTTTATCAAACAAAAATTTCACGATGGTAAGTACAATAGACGCTAGATGGCATAAATACAAAAACTTCAATATTTGATTAGATTGATAACTTTATTCTGTAGTGCATTACCTAGAAGTTTTATATTTCATGCGCGAGTCCCGTGTGACTGCTGCGCAAGCGCGTTTAGCATAAGTTAGATTTTATAAGAAATGATTGTATTTGGGACTCAATAAACGACCGACGTACGGTGAAGACGTATCTTTTCTTTTCCCCACTCGCACCATGCCTCATGGCGACCATGCCAGGATGCTAACAAATAAATTACCCACTAAGTGAAAAACCAGTGCAAAAAAAAAAAAAACCAAATTCGGAAGAAAGAAGAAAACCTTATAGAAGAAAGAAGAAAACCATATAGAAGAAAGAAGCACAAATTCTGAAGAAAGAAAAAAGAAGCGCCCTATTTTGAAGAAAACAAAAAAAAACCAAGAAGAAACGCCAGAAATCCAAAGAGAAATAAAGGTACGAAATGGGAAAATCGCAGTCGAAAGAAGTAGTCATAGCACAAAACGCAAATGGTGCAGCATCCGCAAATACAAGCCTAGAAGACGCTCACACAAACCACATCATACAAACCCTCATGATTGTATCCGTGGTTATACTGGCTGCAGCAGTTATCTATTTTACCTGATGAAAAAATGCAGGAAGAGTGCCGTGAAAACTCTGAGGCGAGAACTCAACGCAATGCTGAAAACATCGCCCGCCCTACAACTAACTAGAAGATCTCAAGAGGTGTCCAGGGTAATACCCGGCCCAACATCAAGAGGTGTCCAGGGTAATATCTCAACCGGCCCGCTTCAAGAAGATGACCTCATGCAGCCACACATCCTGTTTGCAGTGCTGTTCCCGCTTGCTCGCGCCGCCCTAAAAATGGTTACATCCACAAACACCATCGCCCCGCCCTTGTAATTAGTATGTACGTGATATTTTAACAAGTAAGTGAAATTATAATTTTTTAAGTGTTTTTACATAGTGTGTAAATAATAGTTTCCTTTTCCTTTACTGTTAGAAATTATATTTGTCGATTTTTTCAATGTCACTAGCTGAACTAAATAATGTGTACAGTAGTTTAAAAGAAATTAGAGATTATCTAGTGAAAATCGGACCAAAACGTAGAGAGAGTTCCGATACAGCAAAAGAAAAAGTTAGTGAAGCGAAAAATCTGTACAGTCGTTTGGAGTATATTTCGTCTAAAATTAAACTAAAAATAGAGAATTCTGAGATAAGTAGCGATGATTTTCAGGTTATTAATAGATGCATAGACGACATACATATCTTGTACAGTAATATTTTAAATTTAATGTCTCGTGAATCAGAAAGTTCCAATAACTCAGCCAGCATGGGCGCCTTTGATTTAAAAACGGCAATAGCCCTATTGCCAATGATGACAGGCCACGAAAATATTACTACTCAACTGATAGATAGTATTGTGATGTATAGTGATATGCTTAACGAAAATGGCAAAAAAACAATTAATTGATTTCGTTTTGAAAACTAGACTGACCCCTAGCGCCAAGCTGAGGTTAAAATCTAGCTACGAGTCCGTGAGTAGTTTGGTTTTAGATATGCGCACTCACTTAATTCAGAAGAAATCCGCGGTAGCATTGCAATCGCAGCTTAATAGCGCAAGCCAAGGCCGTAGATCTATTGATAAGTTCGGCTCTGAGTTAGAACAGTTGTTCGTCAACTTGACTATAGCACAGGCTGACGGTGATGACAAAAAATACGAAACACTTCGTCCTTTGAACGAGAAAATTGCGATTAAGCGTTTCGCAGACGGATTATCAGATTCGCGTTCGAGCATTATCATAGCCTCCCGACAATTCCAGTCTCTTCCAGAAGCGATTCAAACCGCGCTGGACGAGAACACATCAGCAGCTCGTAACGAGCATGTGTTGAACATTTACCGCAGTCGTGACAATCAGTTTAATAGAAATAAAAGAGGCCCTAATAACGCTCGCTCAAATACTAATTATAACCATCAGAGAGCGCAAAGCGGATCGAATTCCAGGACATTTTACAGGGGTAACTCTCGAGGGCTCAATCGTGGTAGGTACCAACGGGGTACTTCGCGAGGCCGAGGTCGGTACAACCCATCTCGCCCAAATGTAAACGCCCGCGTTTCTCAGATACAATCGGAGCACATTGAGAGCGTGGAACGCACTCAATCTACACCGAATAGTGAGTTTTTTCGCCCCTACAATTAGTGATCATTTCGTTTGTAATTATAGCATAAACAATGTAGTAGATTTAAATGTAAGTAATAATAGCAAGGCAAGTCTTTTAGTAGATACGGGCGCGAGCATTTGTGTTATGAAATATGAGTGGCTCCTCGATAACCAGGAGTATTTGAATGAGTTACATTATGATAAAATAACAATTAAGGGCGTTAGTGGTAAATTAATTTCAGACGGTTATATTTACTTAGATTTAGTTTGTAATGGCATAACTTTTAGAGAGAAATTTTACGTTTTTAAGAATCTCTCTTGTTTTGCTAACGGTATATTGGGCGATAATTTGTTTAAGCGTTATAATGCGATAATCAACTACGAAACACGAACCTTACAGTTATCGAATCAGGGTTCCGTAGTTTGTCTTAATATGGGTAGATGAAGTGATAGGTATAGACACGTCATACCCGCCCGTTGCGAAGTTATCAAACATATTCCTTGCACTTTAAGGACGCGTTTGCAAATCAACCAAAATTAGGGTGTTTTTCGGTAGATTTTGTGACAAAACTAAACCAAATCAAATATAAGTAAAAACTACCATGTATAGATTGGTTCTTCATCTGCAAACGTCTGTAACTCTTTTGTTGAAAATAGTAGTTTTTTATATTGTAAAAACGAACTTTCGTTGCCATTTTCTACAAAATTAACGATACCGGCTTGTGTTTCGGTACATGTTTTGGTCTATTATCAACATATTTAAAAAATTTAAAAAATACTATAAGATGACAGACATATTCAATTAAAAAACCCTGGTTTTATTTTTTAACAAAATGTCACAAATAGTCGTAAAAAAAATAAAAACTGATGCACATTTTTTCACATATTTTGGTAATACGGATGAATCATAATGTATTGCAATAAGGGCTATTTTATTGTTGGTGCCTGCTTTGATTTATTGTACAAAGATTTCGATGAAACCACAGTCCGCGCTCGGCCGCCGTCGTGAGTGGACACTGTATCGCCTGTTTGCAGCGGCTCATTCTGAAAAGACCGCTGTACATACACAAAATATTAGAAAAAAACAAATTGGAAACATAAGTACTTGACAAGTAATAAAATTATTATTTTTATACTCACAGTTTTTTATTTAGCTAAAAATAAGTAGGATATATAAACTTACCTACTACTGCAACTCGTGGACGAGCGGAACTAGGTGTGCCGA